GGTGATTCTTTTCAATTAGTCTGTCTTTTGACTTCAGCTACATTAAAATCTCATTTCAAACCTTCAATTATGTCTCTGACAGCTCAATTAATTCTTACAGTGCCTCTATTTGTGTAAATCGTTGTACTGCTCTTTGATCCAACCTTTTCTTTGAACCACTGTAATGACCCAGGGCCCAATCTTGGACACTACTGACTGTCCTGAGTTATGGGGATGTTTAATCTAGAGACTCCCTCTCTCTGGATCATCTTGAGAAATATCCACTGAATCAATTTCTCTCTCACTGATGAAGAAGAGGTAGAACCCTCAGGAACAGTGCTTCCTCTGTTGCATCCCCCAGGAATGTTTCCTTGCCAACATCCTCAGCTACTGAGAACTCTCCACAAAAAGTTGCTCAGCTCTGTAGACTTCACCACCACATCAGTCATTACAGGAATATTTTATTCCTCATTCAATTACACTGTAGACCAGTAGTCTCCTTAACTTTAAATTCCATTCCTTATTTTTAAAAAATTGTTTACATATGATTCTCCCTGCTGTAAACTGGCTTCCATTCCTATATATATATGTGCTCCTTAGGAGTGTGTATTCAGTTTATCTGAGCCAGATAAACTTTGTTGGTGCTTTTCAGGTATTTTTTCAGCTGGATATCAGCTTGGGGGTATTTATCCAGCTATTCAATACAGCCAAGCCCAAAAAATCCCAAAAATATTTGGGATTTGTCAGATAGCTGGCATTAAAGGGTTTTTAAAGGGATTGAAGTCCACTTACATGCCTTCTGGGTGAAGCCACGTCTTGGAGAAGGTCTTTAAAGGGACCTTGGGCTTTTAAAATGACTTTGGAGTTCACCCACGGCTTGCAAAAAGCATTTAAAGCCAGTTTGGTGTAGTGGTTAAGTGCGCAGACTCTAATCTGGGAGAACTGGGTTTGATTCCCCACTCCTCCACTTGCACCTGGCTGGATGAGCTTGGGCAAGCCGTAGTTCTGATAAGAGCTGTTCTAGAAAAAGAGCCTTTTCTGTCAAGAGCTCTCTCAGCCCCACCTACCTCACAGGGTGTCTGTTGTGGGGAGGGAAAGGAAAAGGAGTTTGTAAGCTGCTCTGAAACACCTTTGGGTAGTGAAGGGCGGGGTATAAATCCAATCCAATCTCTTCTCTTCTTCTCTTAAAGAGACTGCACTCCCTTTTAAATGCCTTTTCCCCTCCATTGGGAGGGGGGAAGGATGGATGGAAGGAAGGAAAAGAGAAGGATGGAAAGAATGAAAGGTGGAAAAAAGAAGGAGAAAGAGAAACAGAAACAAAGAAAGCAAGTAGATGGGGAGAGGGGGAGGAAGGAAGAGAGAGAGAAACAAAGCAAATAGATGAGGGAGGGGAGGAAGGAAAGAAGAGAGAGAGAAAGGAAGGAAGGGAGAAAGAGAGAAAGAAAGGTGAAAAGAAAGAATGAGGTGTAAAGAATTAATTAGATGGGGGAGGGAGGAAGGAAGGGGAAAAGAGAGAGAGAGTGGAAAGAAAGCAAATAAATGGGGAGGGAGGTGGAGAGGTGGAAAGAAAGCAACTTTAACTTTAAATGTGTTTTCCGATCCTCCCCATGCCACCCGGCTTGGCTGCTTGGAGAAGGGATTCAAAGAGACAAATGCCTTCTCCAAGCTGGCAGGTGGGGGAGGGCTTTGAGAACACATTTAAAATTAAAGTTGTTTTCTTTCTTTGCTCCCCCCCCACCTCAAGCCTACCCAGGAAGGGGAATGCTGGCTGGGGAAGGGGAGACTGATCGGGGAGGCAAGGCTCTCATTTGCCTCCCCAGCCACCCTCCCAGGAACCACACAATATATGTGAAAGAGCCCCATGTGGCTCCCGAGCCACAGTTTAGCCACCCCTGCCTTATAGGGATCATTGACTATAATAGTCCCCATAGGGTATAACGGAGCCAAGAAATCTGACAATCCCAAATATTTACAGAATCTGAATACCACACTGGTATTGGGATTTGGGAATATCGGGAAATACTAATATTTTTCAGGTTCAATATATCGAACCTGAAAAATACTGTGAGATTTTTTGTACATCCTAGTGCTCCTGTATGCATAGGTAGTGAATTTCAGTTAGTGAGCTCAGATTGAAATGTCACTCTTCCATCTATAAAGTTGTAGCTACATTGACTGTTTCTCAATTGATGTACCTTATTTATTTATTTATTTTATTCAACTTATATCCTGCCCTCCCCGCATGGCAAGCTTCAGGGTGGGTTGCATGAGATTTGATAAAAATACAGTATTCAGAGATTAACACAATAATATATATTATTATATTATAATGTAATGTTTTATTGTGTTTTAAACCTTGCTGTATTGTTTGAGATGATGTGACCCACCCTGAGCCTGCTCACGGGATGGGTGGGATACTAAATAAATAAATAAATAAATAAAACACAATTAAAACACTAGTAAAATACTACAATAACCTTCATCCGGTGCAGTTGTCACTAAAATTAAGACCTCACAGATGCTATCTTTGGTATGCAGTTCTGACCTGAGGGGAGGCCGTCCTGCAGGGCCCTGATCTCATATGGGAGCTCATTCCAACAGGTTGGGGCCAGGGCTGAAAAGAACCTGGCCTTAGTCAAGGTGAGACAGATGTCCCTGGGGCCAGGGGCCAACAGAAGATGTTGATTGGTGGATTGTAAAGCCCTTCGGGGCTCATAGAGGGAAAGGCGATCTTGCAGATGTGCAGGCCCCTGGCCATATAGGTCTTTAAGCGTAAGCACCAACGCATTGAAATGGATCCAGTACTCAATAGGCAGCCAGTGCAGTTTGCGCAGCACTGGGTGGATGTGGCATCGCAAAGGCAGTAACATCAGTACCTGTGCCGCTGCATTCTGCACCAGCTGCAGTTTCCAGAGCAGAATCAAGGGCACCCACATATAGAGAGAATTACAATAATCTAATCTAGAGGTGACCATTGCATCGGTCACTGTAGCCAGATCCTGGGGAGTGAGATATTGGGCTAACTGTCTGATCTGTCTCAGATGGCAGTGGCGGCAACCTGGGCCTCCATAGTTAGTGAGAAATCCAGGAATACCCACAGGTTCTTCACCTTCGGTGCCGGCACCAATAAGGCCCCATCAAAAGTTGGAAGCCCAATCCCAATACTCCACAACCCAGGTACAGGACCTCCGTCTTCGATGGATTCAATTTCGGTCTGCTCTGTTGTAACCAGCCATGGCTTGTAATGCCCTGTCCAGATTTTTTGGGGCAGAGTCCGGGTGGCCATCCAACAGTAGAAGAGAGAAGAAGAGAAGAGATTGGATTTATACCCCGCCCTTCACTTGGAGTCTCAAAGCAGCTTACAAACTCCTTTCCCTTCCCCTCCCCACAACAGACACCCTGTGAGGTGGGTGGGGCTGAGAGAACTCTGACACAAACTGCTCTTTCAGGAACAGCTGTGCCAGAGCTTGTGACTGACCCAAGGTCACATGACTGACCCATGTAGATAGAGCTGGGTGTCATCTGCGTATTAGTGACAACTCAGCCCATACCTTCAGATAATCTGGGCGAGGGGGCACATTTAGATATTAAACAGCATTGGGGAGAGAATCTATCCCTGTGGCATACCACATTCTAGCAGATGTTGCTGAGGTAATCCCCCCCCGAGTGCGACTCTCTGTCCCCGACCTTGGTGAAAGGAGGTCAGTCACTGCAAGGAAAGGCCCCTTATCCTCATATCATCGAGGCGGTGGGTCAACAGATCATAGTCAACCGTATCGAACGCTGCCGAGTCCCGACAGATCAAGAAGTATTAGCAGCACCAATCTGCCTCGATCCAGGTGTCTCCGAAGATCATCCACTAAGGCGGCCAACACCATCTCCGTCTCATGGGCAGGGCGAAAACCGGACTGGAAGGGATCCATTTCATACATTGCTTTGGATATTTTAGTCAACTTAAGTCTAAAAATCAGATTTTCTTTTGTGTTTTCTAGAAGGCAAAAATGTATTTAGCTTGGTGATGGGGACACAGACTTGTAAAGTTTTTGGGCGATGACTATGGTATATTTTATTCTGTGATTCATGTTGGTGTAATACCATAATAAATGACTTTGAACTTGACTTGTAAACTTTTGTTGTTATGCTGTTTTGTTGTTATGAAAGTCTTCAGGGGACGGTCACTGACTGTGTACACTTGTCTCATTGTCATTGCATCAATTTAAGAGGACTGCGCTTTGCCCCTTGCATTGTAAGTCCCACAGGGACTGACTGTATGGTGTCTATGATTGTTGCCTGTCATTTGGAAGAACATTTAAATGATTTATATAAGTTATGCCTTAAAAGATTTGTTACCTTTTGGAAGTATTTAATTTAACATGAGTTTTTAGTATGTATATCTGTTCCATGTTTATTAGTGGAATAACTTTGATACAAATGTATCTCTGTGGATATGTAATTTGATTTTAAAATTAGGTAAAATTATTAAACTTCTAGGTTACTAAATGAGTCCCAGCTGAAGACAGATATTAAACACAGGCAAATAATATGTAAGAAGTCTGGTTGTAACAAATACAATGTCAGACATTTTAAACCAAACTACCATAACCTCCAGCAAAACTGTTTAACATATACATTGTTTTGACATGCAGTATATGCTTAGTTTTCCCCACTGCTCACTATTTTAAGCAAACAGTGAGCGTGTGTTTCAGTGAACAAATGCCAGCAAGGTTTTTTTCCTTGTGTAGGTTAACTTAGTTGACCTTCTTAGCTGATTTCAATTGCAGAACGCTATTATATTTATAATGCAGTTCTGGTAAAAATACTGTTCAAGTCCTGTTGCAGCTTTCTCTGTTGAAGGGGTGCTGGTAAGACAATATGATAAAAAAAGAGTTGATCAAAATAACACTTGCCACTTTTTAATCACTTATGCGTATATATAGAGTTTCTTTTTTGTACTGTGATTTCTTTTGGTGGAATAGTAATTCATATTTAAAGGATTAAAATAATCCCTTTTAAATTCCCAGTTACCGGAATTCGTACAAGAAGAACATCTGCATAGACATGCTACGGCAGGGTTATCACAAGTCCTTCGCTGAGCTCTTTACTCTGATCGAGAAGTGGAATGCCTTGAGGGAGGCTTCAGGGCCTGGGTCAGCCATATGGCTGCAGAAGTCCCTAGAGGAGCAGCCTGATAAACTGGATCAGCTTCACCACTTCCTGACCAGGGCTGAGGCAGCCCAGCGATCAGGTAAATAGGGGAATTCTGGGTAATGGAGCAGCATGAGTTGCAGCAGTGTGTGCCTGAGGGAAGATTCCAAATTGTTTCATGTATGAATTTGAAACATCACTAGAACTTAGCACATCTCAGTCTTATTCAGCTAAACTGTATTTCTAAAATAAATGATAAGTAACTCTGAATTATGAGCTTACGGTTAGTGAGACATTCAAGTGGCTAAATGAAAGGGAGTCGTGTGTGTGTGTGTGTACATATAATGATGTCACCAGGATCCTTTTGCTACATTTATACTCATGATAACCAACATCTCAATTATGACCTCTTTCACAGGTTTCATGCAATCTGTTTGTTTTTGGTTTTGATTCTGTAATACAGTAACTGCTATTGTGTTATGTTTTCTATAACAATGTCAGTTTCCTAATCTGTTCTATTTACCATATATTTTCCTACAAATCTCTATTCTTAGACATTAGTAAACAATATCAGTGTCTAAATACTATTCTTTTAACTGAAGTTATTTTATCCGTGTGGCTACAGTCCTGTATTCAGTTATATATACTTAAATATACTAGTGGAAATAATTGTACTGGATTATTGCAGTAGAAAACTCATCAAAGGCATTTGAGGTGGGAGGGAAGTTCTTTGGTTATTAGATGTTTCATCATATTGATTGCACTGATTTACAATGTACAATCTTCTTTGCGTCTCAATGAGAAAAGCGGACTATAAGTATTGTAAATAAATAAATAATGCTGGAAAAATCAGCATGTGTTCGGCAGCTTAGAGCTGCTCAGAAGGAAGTGGGTAGGATCAAGGTCTTAGGCCCTGACTGTTAAGTGGGAGAAGAAGGAAGAAGCAGAAGCCAAGACTAAAGGTGGTATGTGGTCTATCATCCCACAAATGGGGTAAATTTGAGATATCCAGATTAGGCCAGTTCTGGACATGCCTGGTAGAAGAACAGGGACTGGAATACTTTTTTTTGTTAGTTTTAATTTATTTTATTAATGATATATAGAAATTGCAAATATCAAGTTGTTGTTGTTCAGTCGCACAGTCGAGTCCGACTCTTCGCGACCCCATGGACCAGCTCCTGCCAGGCCCTCCTGTCTTCCGCCGTCCTCTGAAGTTGGCTCAATTTCATGTTCGTTGCATCGATGACACTGTCTAACCATCTCATCCTTTGCCGTCCCCGTCTTCTTTGACCTTCAATCTTTCCCAGCATCAGGGTCTTCTCCAGTGAGTGCTCCCTTCTCATTTGGTGGCCAAAGTATTTGAGCTTCAGTTTCATTATCTGGCCTTCCAGGGAAAAGTCAGGGTTGATTTCTTTTAGGATTGACTGATTTGATCTTCTTGCAGTCCAAGGGACTCTCAAGAGTGTCAAAATATCAAGTAGTGGTTTTCATATACATATGTTAAAATCCAAAGATAATTCAAGACAAAGATTAAAGTTAATGTGAAAGGCTAAATCAAAGTTAGTACAACTGGTAAAATTGGTAAGGTAGCATATAACTGTAAATGCACAATGATGATCTCAGTTGTTAGCAATATGTCCTAGAAAATAAAACATTAGGTGCCAGTATAGTATAATGAAGTAGCCGTGCAGCTGCTTAGTTGGAGTAAAGTAGTGCATAGAAGTCACTGTGACTTATGGTGCTCTACTCTACACCTGCAAAAATGAGAAGAAAAGAAAAAAGGTAATAATATTAAATGAATAAAGAAATAAAGAAGAATGAGGAAAATAACTAAAGTTTGTAAATGAAACCTGGTTAAAGTGAAAACATTTGTTGGTAAATTGGATTAGGAGACAGTAAGTCTTGTTCAAGGATGTATTCAAGGAAAGGGAACCACTTTTCCTCGTAAGATGTTCTCCTAGGATACAGATCCCGTTGAAGTAGTTTATCAATGATTTTCTCCATCATCAGATGATCCCATATCTTCAAAAAACAGGTATCTATGCATGGCATCGATGGTGATTTCCAATAGGATCTGATCTGATTCTGGGAACTGAAGGATCTCGCATGTGTTGTAAGAAGATCAGTTCGGGGATCAGTGGTAATGAGTATCCTGTAATGTGCTGAGTAAGAATATTACTCCAGAAGTTTCTTGCATGTGGGCATTGCCACCAACCATGTGCAGAAGTGCCAGTGCCACCACAGCCTTTCCAACAAAGTACGGGGCTGGAGGAGGAGATCAAAGCCATCTTCTGAGGTGTGATGTACCACCTGGATAGAATTTTATAAGATTGTAATCTAACATGTGCTGAAGATGATGATGCTAGGGAGGTATGCCAAATATTGTACCACTGAGCATTTGTAATATTGATTCCACAATCTCGGGACCAAGCCAGTTGATATGGCAAGGGCTATATAGGATCACGCTAAAGTAGGATGTGATATATTTTCTTAATAAGACCTTGAGAATTAATGGCGTTAGAGTTCAGTATGTCTTCAAAGTCTGAATGATGAGTGTAGGCTATCAGACAATTGTAAAGTGGTGGTCATGTGTTGCAATTGAAGACAGAAGAACCATGGGATCTTTTGCTGAAGTTTTCTTTCTAATAAAAGCTTTGGTGCAAGATGGTGGTTCAGTGCTAGGTCTTTTAGCCGCGTACGTTTGGCTGTTCTCCATAAAGAAGCGATTTGCAGATTTGCTCCCAGTGGAAACCAAGTTTGAAAGAAGAAAGAGGAAAACCTTGAGTGCTTTGGAACCAGCTTATGTTTGTAGGTATCCCACAATTTGAGAAGAGTTGTAATGAATATGTTGTTATGAAGACCATGAGGGCATGATGAGGATTCCATCCAGATGGCATCTTGTAAAGTGGGAGGATGTAGAATGGGATCCAGTGTTAGGGTCCAGTGTGTTTGTTCTTTAAATTTTAAGATTTTCACAATGTATGATAGTAGAATTGCCTTATAATATGTGGTAAAGTCAGGATAGAGGCCTCCTTCCGTCATTCTTAGTCTCAGTGTCTTAAATCCAATTCGTGGACGTTTGTTTTTCCAATGGACAAGTTGTTGATGGTCATTTGCCAATGTAATAGGGTTTTAGAAGGTATCTCCACTGGTATTGTTTGAAAGAGAAAGATGAGTTTGGGAAGAACAAATGATTTAATAAGATGAAATTGGTTGTGCTGTAGCCAGCCTCATCAGCCCCGAACCTGGGGTGGTCTTTCCCGAGAGAGAGACACTCCAAAAATGACCTCTGAACCTCCACAAGCAGTGCCCTATGAAGCCAGGCTTGGCTTAAACAGTGGCTCTTGCTGGGAGGCTAGAAGAACCACATCATGGCTGAGAAAACTCAGGCCAAAGGGAATTCTCCAGGCTGGCTGCACTGCCAAGCATCCTGCATGCAAGCAAACAAAAAGCCGCTGGTCTGTGCTATTGTCATGAATGATGTGTGTTGCATATTTCCATCCTCCTCTCCTGTTTCACCTATCTGCATTCTTACGCCTATGCCAGACTATCAAGGAAATATTAACTCTCCATGTCTAGTGAATGGTCAGCCATTCAGGTTCATCCTGCCACACAGTAAGAAACATCACTCCTTTTGTCTGGTACCAGGGAAATGCCAGACCATTCCACAATGGACAGCCCCAGTACAGTCATCCAACACTTGGCTTCTATTGTTAAATCCAGACCCTGCCTCTCTAGAAGCTCATTAGTCACATCTAGGCCTTGCCCATCCTGATGCCACATACCCCTGGGACCCAGAATTGGTCCAGGTAATCTATTGTTCTCACCTGAGACCAGCCCCCAGGGCCGCCCATTGGTCTGCATTTTTTTCCAGTGGGGTATATCCCAGCGAACACATGGCCTCAGAGTGTGTGCTTCTGCCTTGATGCCAACTGGCAGTCCATCCTCAAACTTCTGGGTCTGAGTCATAATCTGATCTCCATGGACCCCTGCACGTCTGGACAGGTTGTATTTCCCAGTAACAGACCCATCTATTCACTATCAATTACCTCTGCTTTCTTAGTTCTGTATTGCTTGCTCTTTTGAATGTTTAGTGTGCTTGTACTTAGGGAAATACTTTAATAAAAACGATTTAATTTACTCTTCAAATCTGGAGTTTTCCTACTGTGCCGGACCTTGGTATACAAGTGGTGTGCGATTCCTGTACCCATCTGGCCTATTCTGCCGTATAGCTAATTTCCCCAAACAACAAGGCAGGTCATTGGTGGTAACAGTGCCATGAGAAGGATTGATGATCCCATTTGTTAAGATTGGCTTTTATTTCAAGAAATTTCTGAAGATGATTGAATTTCAACAATGTTGTCATAGAGGATGAGAGAAGAACTCCCAAATCGGGAAGAGGCTTATCTATCTACTGGTACAAGTATGTTGATTTCAAACCAGGTAGTGTGGGGGATCTAAGATATAAAGGTAAGATTGTGGACTTGAGAGTGTGTCTTGAAGATGGGCAAGAGATTTGATTGGATCTGTCAGATAAATAAGCATATCGTCTGCAAATAGGCACATTTTAAAGTCATATGTGGCTAATTTGACACCATGGATCTTGGAATTTTGTTGTATTTTGGCTGCGAGGGGTTCCAGGGCTATTGCAAGCAGTAAAAGGGATAGAGAGCATCCTTGCCATGTTCCCCTATGTAACGTATATGTCTCTGAAATGGTTCCATTAGCCTTTACTTGTGCCATGGGGTGGGAATACAATGCCATTATTAATTTGAGAAAAGTGTCACCAACGTTCATATGTTTCAGTAAGGTATGGAGATAGAAGGTCTCTAAAGTATCAAACGCTTTCTCGATGTCTAATGAAAGAAGTAATGCTTCAGGACTTGTCTTTGTGCATGAAGAGATGATATTTAGTGTTTTGAAGATGTTGTTTGTTAAGTCTATTCCAGGCATAAATCCTAATTGGTCGGGATGTATGTATTCTGTGATGAAGTCGATTAGTCTGCGTGCAATGATAGCGGTGAAATTTTTGTAATCTTGATTAAGCAGTGATATAGGACGGGAAGAGGCTGGTGTGGTGAGAACTTTTCCTGGTTTGGGAATGACTACAATGGAGGCCGCGTGTCACAACGGAGGGAGGGATCCGGTTGTGAAGAGCTCATTATAAGTGTCCGTTAATAGAGGAACAAGAATGGAAGCAAACCTTTTGTAGAATTCAGGAGGATAGCCATTCAGACCGGCTGATTTGTTATTTTTCAGGGATTTAATGGTTTCCAAAATTTCTTGCATCTCAATAGGTCGAATCAGAAGAGAATGATGATGGTCCGTCAATTTTTTAATGTGTACATTAAAATATAAGTAGTCTTAATATGGAGGTCGAAGATGGGCATTTGGAGGTATAAAGTTTTTGGTAGTACTTAGCAAACAGCTGTGCTGTGTCATTAGGTTTTGGATGTAAAATGCCTGAAGAATCTCTTATCGCTGTCGCTATTTTTGAGGACTGTTTTGTTTTAACTCTCCAAGATAGAAGAATGTAACGATTTTGGGGAGTTACTCAAAGACTTCTAATTGATATGGAAACAAGTGGGACAGAGGCAGAAAGAGGCTAGCATGAATCTGAATAAAGAACACTTAATATTTCATTTCACAGTATGTTCTGGTGTCTGGCCAATTTTGAGTGTTTGTACTGAATTTGCTAACAAAACAGTTACAAGCAGCTCATACTCATAAGACGTAGTTGCCGCTGAAGTGGTAAGCCTGTGTCTGAATTGTGCCAATTCCCTGTATAGATTAGGTGTTCACATTTCAGAATTCTTCAGGAAAACAAAACAAAATCCTGCACTGAACATGACAGGCAGAAAGGTTCTAGGCTAGCTTTCCTCATTTGATTTGACATTGTCTATTATTGACACCTATACAACAAATATTTTAGTTGCTTTAGTGGGGCAGCAAAATCCATCATATTTTGAAGATTGGCTATGTAGAAAAGAAGAAGAGATTAGATTTATACCCTGCCATTCACTACCTGACGGAGTCTCAGAGCGGTTTACAATCTCCTTTCCCTTCCCCTCCCCACAACAGATACCCTGTGAGGTAGGTGGTTAAGACGCTGAACTGCAGGCTGTGGAAGGTCAGTAGTTCAGCAGTTCAAGACCCGGGCGCCGCAAGACAGGGTGAGCTCCTGTCTCTAGTTCCAGCTCCTGCCAACCTAGCAGTGCGAAAGCAAGACATTGCAAGTAGATAAATAGGTACCACTTCAGTGGGAAGGTAACAGCGTTCCGTCCGCCTTGGTGTTTAGTCATGCCGACCACATGACCACGGAAACGTCTTCGGACAGCACTGGCTCTTCAGCTTTGAAACGGAGATGAGCACCGCAACCCTAGAGTCGGATTCGACTGGCTTTCGAGCAAGGGAACCTTTACCTTTACCTTTTACCTTCCCTTCCCCTCCCCACAACAGATACCCTGTGAGGTAGGTGGGGCTGAGAGAGCTCTTTTGAGAACTGCTTGTGAGAGAACAGCTCTGAAATAACTTGTAACTGACCCAAGGTCACACCAGCAGCTGCATGTGGAGGAGTGGGGAATCAAACCCAGTTCTCCCAAGTTAGAGTCTACACTCTTAACCACTACACCAAAACTGAAAAATGATTAGAAACTAGTCTTGAACTACGCTAATAGTGGTAGACAAAGATGTTTTGAACCAAAAGGAACAGTTTCCTGTTCTTTCTCAACTGTCTCATGATCTTTCTGGGTTCTTAAAAATACAAAGAGACCTTTCCTATATGGAAAAAAAAGTTTAAGTTATTGTGCTTTATTCATTATCTCTAGTTTGTTTTGGTCAGTTTGTGTTTGTGATAATTATACTGAAATGTTATCTTTGTGCACTGCTTATTCTTATTCACTGGAAGGACAAACATTTGAGGTTTGCATTAAAGTTCATTCAGTCAAGGCTAAACAGTAACAACAGTCAGCGGGAGGTCACTTACCTCTCTTGAGAATTGTAGGGTACTTAACCTCAACTCATTTGCATCATTTTACAAAATGTTGTTGCCTCTATACTCCATATCACAGAGGTTAAAGCTATTATGTTTATAAATATTACTTTCTCCCAGTTAGCCTTTTCCCCATTTTTCTTTGTTTTCCCTTATTTTATCTATTTGTGTGTGATGGTATTTTATGTTACCATTGAATAGATATATTAGCTTTAGCTTTTACAACCCATATAGCCCATAACCCATTAAAATTAATGATGGTATTGTTAAGGCTGAGGACTGGAGATGCAGTGTTAAGAGGGGGGATTACCTCAGGCCTCATACATCTAGGGGACACATAAGCATTGTCATACTATACTATGTTTTAGTGTGTGAACAGACCCCCCCCTCAGGTTTGATTACCCCAGGATGAGTAGTATCAGTACTTTGGATCTGGCACTGGACAGCTCATTTGCTGTCTCACTAATTTTGGTAGAGGGTTTTTTTATTAACCTGTTTAACCTGAAAAAAGTAATCAGCATATAGCCCATCAGCTCCTTTCTTCTTTCCCACATACTAAGCAATACTAGTCTGATAGCCTGGATCTGGAAGAGCAACAGAGCCATCATCCCAGCCAATAGCTGCAAGGAATAGTTTATGGCTTACCTCAAGTTACTGATAAAGAGTGCTACTAACTTTTGTTCTTCAGGTTCCATCTAATTTGACTTCTGAAAACCACTAAAAAATGGAAGGCTTCTGTTTTTGGAGAGTGTCATGATTTACAAGGGAATCTTTTTTTCATTTTTCAAATTTCAAGGCATAAAACCTTAAAATACTACTGAATTAAATTTTAGTGTCAGATACAGGCGACCTTAAAACAGATTATATTAATCTGTTTTAAGGTCACCTGTATCTGACACGAAACAGATTATATTAATCTATTTTTTTTCCAAATGTCACAGGATTAAATGAAAAGAAAGGGAACCCTTACAATAAACATTCAATCCCTGGACCTCTGAGATTCTTAAGAAGGGCCTGACTATTTAATGTAACATGTAGTAACTGTAACACCTAATAACTCATTGCAGGGTTATCTGTAAGTCTGGGATAAGACCATGTCCTGCCTGCTTGCTGTCCCTCATACCATACTACTCAAAGTGAAAGTATGCCATCTCTTTAAGATTTCTCAGGCAAGTTTCAGAGAATAAATATAGGGCTCATCTTCTTTCAAACCAGGTTGAGGAGAATGAGAGACTTGTGAGGTTTCTATAGAGACTTTGGGAAGGCAAGAATCACCACTTCAGGCAGATTAGTGAATGGTTGCAAATCATAACATTCTGCCAGAATAGCAGTGACATTCTGATGATATTTCAAAACAAAATATGCTGGACTAAGTTCCTATTGTCTACACATACATTTTAAAAGTGTGTATATAAATGGAATACAGTGATCAAGAATGAACCATTTTTTCATCAGCCCTGTTTCACAAAACAGCTTATCAAGTGACACACACGGAAAGGTGGAGAAAGAGGAATTATATTATAGTAGTAATTGCCAACATGGTGCTTGCCAGTATGTTTGCTGGCACTTGTGTGGTTCTTGAATCTTGGAGATAAAATCCAAAGAGTTGTGAATAAGACAGAAAAACAGGCTGCCCACTGGTTGATTAACATATGCTGAGTTTATTTCCTGGATCCCTTCCGGACACCCTTTTAAAACATTTGCTGTGGTATTGAGGTTTAGCAGCGTTAGATGTAAGAAGATGTAAGAGGATGAATAGATGAATGAAGAGTCATATTAAAACACAGAACACATTGAACTGTACAAAAAAGTAGTGGTTTTGCCAACTTCCTCCCAAATGCAAATAAACCTGCCAAAAGGGGAGAAGCTACAAATCTTGAAACCTCAGCTGTTCATTTTATGAAATACTTGCCAATATTCCAAATGGTTAGATTAAAAGATCTTTCAGACCAGATAGAGCTGTTGGTTGAATGGGATGGATAGAAAGTGATCAAGAATGAAGAAGAAGAGAAGAGATTGGATTTATACCCCGCCCTTCACTTGGAGTCTCAAAGCGGCTTACACACTCCTTTCCCTTCCCCTCCCCACAACAGACACCCTGTGAGGTGGGTGGGGCTGAGAGAACTCTGACACAAACTGCTCTTTCAGGAACAGCTGTGCCAGAGCTTGTGACTGACCCAAGGTCACATCAGCAGGTGCAAGTGGAGGAGTGGGGAATCAAACCCGGTTCTCCCAGATTAGAGTCCGCGCACTTAACCACTACACCAAACTGGCTCTCATATGAGATGTGAACAGGGTGAGTAACATGAATGAGGTTTCATGTAAGAAGGGACACAGGAAGTATGAGCAAAATGCTTCTGCAAATCTTTATGTATCTGTGTGAGTGTGAGAGAGAGTGTATGTAGATAAGTAGATACACATATATGGTACATCAAAAGCATGCCGTTTGGCTTGTATATTACATAGTTTTGATTGACAGAGGCAATTATCAATAAGGCTTGCTGGGAAGTATTCTAGCATTTCTCAGATAAAATTTTTTTTTTATTGAAGAATACTATGAAGAGATGTATTTGAATCAACTGAGTTTGGCCTATTGCTTCAACAAATCTGAAGACAGATGGTTAAGGAATTACTTCTACGAACAGTGCTACAAAACTGCTCAACTAATTAAAATTGATGGTGGGAGGAAAGAAGCTGATGCACATTCAAATATGGGCCTAGTTTACGAGGAGCAGGGTAAGTAACTTACAGTTTATCTCACTGTATCAGAAATTACAGCCAAGATGTCTAGAAAGCTGTAGATCAGCAGTTGTGCTTTAGAATGCAAAATCTGGCATGTGTTGTAAAATCTAGTAGTTTTCTAGATTTCTGAGAATCATCTGTGTGTCCCACTGGGGGATGGGCTTGTGTGATTTCTCTGTGTGCGGCTGCAATTAAAAAGCCAAATGCTATTCTGGGGATTATTAGGAAGGGAATTGAAAACAAATCAACCAGTATCATGATGCCCTTGTATATTCCAATGGTGTGGCCTCATTTGGAATACTGTGTACAGTTCTGATCACCGCACCGCAAAAAGACATTATAGCATTGGAAAAGGGCAACTAAAATAATTAAGAGGATGGAACACCTTCCCTACAAAGAAAGGTTAAAGAGGTTAGGGCTCTTTAGCTTGAAGAAACAATGAGTTTCTGAGGCTTGACTGTCCCCTTCCTATCATCCTCTCACTCCTACTTCTCTGTCTCTCCAACTTGCCTCCTCTCTCCACAATGGAGCCTCTACCCTCTCAGTTTCTCCTCTAATCTCTCCTTATGGTATTCCAATCTGTTCCTTATGTTGGCCTTAATCTCTGGTCCACTCCCTTGCTCTTCCCACACAGCCTTCTCCTTTTCTCTTGATGTGCTTCACTGTTCTCTGCTCCCAGCTTTTGTCTCCTCTTCTCCTGCATTTCATTCCTAGCTACCCCTCTCGTAGGTGTGGCCAATGGTCTGCCTTTCAGGAAGCAAATTCAGAGTGGAGAGCAGCACTCAACCAATTCTGCATCCCCTGCCCACAGGCCACCGTTCCAGTCCACTTTGCTTGCAGGTAGGCACATAGGATTGAGAGATCTGGCACTCACCCATGCCAGTTGTTGCATCAGAGTTTTTGTTGTTGTTTTGCATATCTGGGAATCTCTTTGTTGTCTGCGACTTTATCGGGGTATGTCCAATTGGTGGAATAAAGGACATATAAGAGTAGGAGAAAGGTTCCTGTTATAGAGGTGGTACTGCTCTCTCCAATTAGATTTCTGTAGCAAGGTATGTGCTATTGTAAGATATTTTATTTTCATTCATTTTTCATTTGTACTCTGCCTTTCTCCTCAGTGGGGCCCAGAGTGGCTTACATTGTCTTCCTCTCCATTTTAGCCTCACAACAACCCTGTGAGGTAGTTTAGGCTGAGAGTTTGTGATTGAATCCCCACTCTGCCATGGAAGCTCACTGGGTAACCTTGAGTCAAAGATCGCAGTCTGATACGCTAACCACTACACCACACTGGCTCTCTGTGTCCAATTTATGGTATACAATTAAGTTCCTTTTAGAATTCAGACTTCAAGAACAAAATGTTATTATAGTTAATGTTTCTGTGTTTACTATGGAGGATTTATTTTCAGATACAAAGTAAGAGGAAAATACTCATTGGAATACATGTAATAAAAGAGCAGAAAATGGGTCAAGTCATATTTCTCCAAGAGAGAAGGCAAGGGCATGCAAATCATGTTGAATAGGGAGTTTGAAGGTGGAGGGCAGCAGGAGAGAGAACAGGTGCAGAGGAAGAAGTAGAGGTTGTGTTGGGACAGATAGAGGAGGCTGCCGAAGTATTAGATGAATTCTTTTGTTTCCATTTCTCAAAGCAAACATCTTTGAACCACTAACTGGGTTAATTCAGTCAGTTGGTTGATGATTAAGCTTTCTTGTGGGTTGAAATGGGGATTGGTGATGAAAAACATTTATTGTGCATCTTTTACAGGTGGAATACTGAATACATTTCAGGATGAATGGGGTACATCTCTTTACCCAAAAGCTAAAAGCAGAAATGATGTGAAATTTAGGCTGAAAGAGAAAGGACCATTCTAAGAGGAAGAGGAAGGAGAATAGGGGTTTCAGAGTTTTTTCCCTTGCTGCTGCACTCCATCTCCTTCCCTCTTTCTCTCTTTTCCTTTACTACTAATTTACCTGCAGTTCTTACCATGGCAGAAAAAGATCCAGTTTAAATTGACTGTGCTGCTTCTGTAGGAATAAGAAAAGGAGACAGTTCAGCAGATGAGATGCCAGAAGGAAAAAAAGGAGTTCCTGAGTCTGGACAGATTTCAGTTGCAAACCTCAATCATTCCTTTCTTGCTTGGGTCTCAAAGGCCTTCGGAACTGAGTGGGAAAGGAAATGAGTTAGAGCACCTGACATATGCATTGTCATCCCCTTTCCCTTCCTCAGCTCAAGGTAAGGGAGCTCCAGCTCCCATTCAGTAATAGAGGGGCAGGTTTTTGTCTTCAGAACAATCTGCTCTGTCTCTTGTCTGCCTGATGCTCACATTGTGGCATTAAGATGGGTGTCTTCCAGTCCTTTCCACCACAGAGCCTTTCAGTCATATAGATGTCAAAGGGTTGTTTTTTTGGCGGGGTCCCTGAGGACAACTGCTCCATGGAAAATGTTGGGGAGCACTGAAAAACCAACTTCTATGAAATATTTTCTGTTTTTGAGTGAGGAAAAGCCTTGTCCTGTCAAGCATTTAACTCTTTCCAAAGATATAGCATGAAAAAGTTTGAGGATTTTCTGTTTTTCCAATGGAAAAATTGGAAAATTTGGGGGAGCACTGGGGGGGGGACCCTCATAATGTAAAAATATACAATATTTAAAACTGAAAAGGTTATATGGAGCTGGCATCTGGATTGACAAAAATGGGGGAGTCCTTTGATTCAGTTCTTATAGAAAATTAGAAAAATTTTGTAGCGGGGATAACCCTCTGAGCTGAATTAGGACAATCATCTCTTGAAGCTTGGGCTTGGTTGAAGGCTTTTTCTCTTAAAAGTCAAAATTATACATTCTGACATCCAAGAGGGCTACTTCAGCTTGATCAGAGAGGATTCTTATGTTTCCAATTGGGATACACGTTGAGCAATGACTCCAGCTCCTCAGTCTTTCCTTGGATTCCATTCAATCACCCGACAGGAAGCTATGAAAATGAATAAGGAACTTTAGGTGTGATTACAACAGTAAAAGCTGTAGAACATGATGTGTTTGCTCTACTCAAATTGTTGGTGATCTTCCATCTAGCCAGCTCCTTATTACTGTTCATATTTGACCGTTCCTCAGTATAGGCATGCCTTTATGTTGGTGCATGTAAATGCCTTACCATCTAGAGTCTTGCAAAGGAGGTATCTTAAGATACCATACTCTGATAGAATATGTGACGGTGGCACAGGTACACTCTGTACCACATGACTTTTGAAAGTCATTTTTCTGAGGGTAGAAATCTTTTAATTTTTCCTTTGCTCCAAATATAGATTATATGGTGTTGGGAGACATTATGTCTTTTATTAGAAGATAACAGAGCTATCACTCTTTCAGCTGTTAAATATTACATGTTTGCAATTGATTTTTGCAGCCATTTAAATGTGGTTTAGTTCTTTACATTTTAGTAATCTACTTAAAACTAATAAGTTAAGAAGTAGTATGAGGTAGAAGATATAAGAAAAAGAAATTCTACATCTGCTGCAGGGAGAGTGGAGAACACATTAATTGGAGTTAAGGTCAATACTGGGAATTTGTTCTGTAGAGTGGGGGGAGTCCGCACATTCTTGCTGCCTGTCCTCCCTCTCTTAAGTTTGATTAAGGAATCTGGAGGTGCATGTGGATGTGTAAAGGGGAGCTTTTCTATACTGCTTTTCTTAAACTTTCACTGTAGACTCTAAGAAAGTTCTGTCAGCTCCAACGTATCACTTTATCCTTTTTAAAAAAATTCTGCCTTTAACAATGATGTGCTCCTTTTCCACTTACATTAGTTCAGATGGTTCATATTTTCTTGTTTTGCGAAGCATGTGACAATTTTGTATGTAATCATAGTTGGTTATTGCCAGATAATTTTGTATAAAAACAAAAACTTACCAAAGCCTTGCTCAGTTTAATTTGTTTGATTTCAAAGCTTCACCTTACCTTTCATTTATTACAAATGTAGCAGTTTCTTAAAAAGAATATAAAAACTGATATTTTCAGAAAGTAGTGTTTTGTATGTGACTCCTTGCCCTTATTAACACTCAGCATAAACTCTCTAATACATTATATGGGAAAGATACCTTAATACTTAAGTATCTTTCAATGTAAGGCAATGTGGAAAAAGAAAAAATCCTATATGAATAATGAAACATTGTATAGCAGATATTTTGAGGTATTCTAAGCGTAGAAATGTAATGGTAATGTTCAGCATGAACAACTGATAAAAGCATGGGACTTATTTTCATTTAAAAATTTCCATATGGAAGTGAACCATTGTAAAAAAGGTGGGAAAATACTGACTTGCTCTTAGGGGTAATTTGTGACATGAGACTCCACAGGATTCCATCATTTAATCAAGACTAAAGGAATTATAAATTATTACGTTCTATATAGGTTACTCTTTTCCTTGTCCATATACTTTTCAATAGAGTGTAGCTCAATAAATTTTATTCAGGAAATGTACCTGAACAGTGCAGTCCTGAACTCTGTCTCTAAATGGTTTAGGATACTGACTAAGCCCTATTACAGTAACTTGCAGACTGTGCCACACAAGCCCCACACCATTGAAATTCTGGGAAAATGGGAAAAAATAAGTTTCTCATGGATATATAGATGTAACCTTATTAAGTCATTCTTGCGCCCCAAATTTATATTTTTCTTCCAGGCGATTCCAGTGGGAATCCCCCCCCCCAAACTTTGAGGATATGGCAGAATGCTCTGAACAATTTTATGTGAGAAAACAAAAATCGTGCATAGCCTTTAATACTATGTGCAGACCAACACATCAGGGTGGACTGGCATTCCCAAACTTGAAAATGTATTCACCAAACTTGAAAACTTATGCTATCTAACATTGTAAAAATGTTGAGAAGGGAGAATCCATTGGATTGGGTAACAATACAGTTAGAACATACCTATCTCAAATCAATACCAGATGCCATCGGGAATAAAAGGCAACCCAGGCCTGAATTGATAAATACAAATAGAGTAC